AAGTCCTGCCGTGGCGATTTTACAATGTGGACTCCTTGTGTGGTGGAGCGTGCTACGGCAGGTTCGCGCGGCGATGATGTCGACGTCGGTTATTCGCACCGCGTCGATCGTTCAACCTTGAATCGATCGCGGCCCCGATCGTTCAAGGTTGAAGTCCGTCGGACCCAGTCGCGTAACCGTGTCCCTCGGTGCTTCCGCGTCGCAGAATTCAACCTTGAACGCCTTCGCCGGCGTCGCCGGCGCCCCATCGCCGCATTAACCGACCGTAGTACCATGTTGCAGCGCGCAGTCCCCAGTGCAGTGGACAGCGCAGGGTCGAACAATTGACCGTAGAAGTAGAACGAATGGTGGACATCCCAAGGATCACATCGAGGGCCGCAAGGACTTCAACGACGGTTCCAAGAAGGCAAACCTCCTCCAGCAAAATACCTGCGAATACCTTCGTGGGTCACTGCAGATGGCTTCGCAACGAAAGGGAACGGAACGCCACATGTGCTACACGTTTCTCGGCTCCCTCTTTCCATATGCATGCTCCTTGAAGTCCCTTATCCCCTCATCTCGTATGGGCATCTTTTTTTGATGATCTGGTGGCGAAGACCTTGATGGAAGCCTGCTGATGGCTTGGTAACGCACGGGACAAGGATCCTAATCAACGTTGCTGCATGTTGCTCGGTTCTCCTCTTTCGATACATGCTCTTCGAAGTTCCCATCTCATCACCTCTCGCCTGGGCTTCGCTTCTGGATGAACTGATGGCGACACGTGGAAATAACCTCAACGATTGTCTGCTGGGAGCGGCACAGAACTGGCCCTGGGAGAGCCCCATTACAACCCGAAGACGGCCCGCACGCCTAACTACTTGTCCTCCTCCTCCTCCTCCTGCTCCTCCTCCCGTTTTTTTTTCCCGGTGGGGGTGGGTGGAAGTCCCATGGGGCAACCCCAGAGGGCCACAGCGTGTCCAGAGAAGAGAGCACGCTCGTCCGACCCTGGCCGCAGCCTTGCCACCCCGCCCGCACGCACGGACCGAACCGAAACCGAAGCCGACGTCCCGTTTGGGGCCTCTTGGCAGGAGGAGGAGGAGGAGGAGGAGGAGGAGGACCCCAACATCTGATTCGGCGTGGGAGCTCTCAGGCCGAAACCGAAGCCGATGTCCCGTTTTTTCTTAATGGGTCACTTCCCCCACCCTTAATGAGTTAAGCACCGACCACACTCTTCTGCAAGCTCGGTGCCGTCTCGCCTGCATTCGGAGACGGGCTGCAAACTGCTAAGGCGGCGTGCCGGGCAAGCCATGTCTGGCCGAAGTATGCAGACTGAGAAACGCATCGCAAAGCATGAACTTAAAAGGCACTGATGAGGACCCATCCCACGAAAAAGGAGGAAGGAGTGGAGCCAGGGCGAACCCTCAGGAGACCCAGAAGAGGCAGGAGCCCAGGAGCCCATCCACTGAGAGAATAACCGAAGCCGATGTCCCGTTTGGGGCCTCTTGGCGCACATGCCCCCAACATCTGATTCGGCGTGGGAGCTCTCAGGCACGAAGTTCCAACCGGTGCTGGCCAAAACCTGGTTCTGTCCCAGATATGTCCGCACGCATCCCCCGTGGACTCAATGCGTGGCGTAAAGTCCAGAGTAGGCTCCTACACACTGCGAGAAGACGAACGACAGACAGCATACAGTGCGGGCGCGGTCGCAGGAAACCCTCGCAAGAAACCCAACCCTGGAAACCCGCGCGCGAGGTGCACCTGAGGGAAAAACCCGAGCATCCTGAACGAATCAGCTTCTTTGACAGCCGCGGAAAGTCACCGCGCAGCTCGCGGAGCGAAGAAACCCAGGGCACCCTGACGAAACTCAGACGGCTTCTTGATGCGCGCCCCCAATGTAAACAAGTTAATCTGGATATCAGCCTGGCCCGCGGCACACTCTGGAGAGCTCGCGGGGGGATGTGATTGGATCTCCGACAGTGCTGCCTCGCTGCGGTCCGCGAGACGCCGCTCTTGCATACCGACGAAGTGTTGACTGGGTCGGATTCGCACTTGCTGTCTGTCTGCTGGAGCGGGGAGCGGTGCAAACAGGTTGCCTTCTCCCAGCCGCTCCTGCACAAGGCCACGGCCCCGTCGAGCCTGGCAAGGATGGCGCCAGCGGGATGGAAAAGGCTACGCACCACAGTAGATCGTTGCTGCTGCCGCACCGTTCCTCCAAACAGTGTCTTCCTCCTGCCCGTGCTTACCCTCCTCTTCATGTCTCGCCTCCTCCGTCCCCGTCCTCACAGAGACCCTTTTCCTGCCGCACCCCGAGACGTGTCGGTAGGGCGGCCACGTATGATCCCAGAGCTTGGGATTCGCAACAATTACACGCATGGACGTGGTGGCTTTCACAATGGAGTCGCCTTTGTGCCGCGCACATTCGTCTTAGGAGTTTCCAACCAGCTACACGGATATAGAGAGGGTCACGTTCAAAATGGAGCTCTCACCTAAGCGCCACAAGCACTCCTCCTACAGCTTGCGATAGTTACAAGGCGAACATGGGCTTCGGCAGAACCATCAAGAGACTCATTGCCTGGATAGCCCTGGACTGACACTGTCTCGAAGCTTCTTACGAAAAAAAACCGTTCGGTGACGTGGCTGGCGGACTCGAAGCTCGCGAGATGATACTGCGCATGGCTTTGGCTACGTTCCGCTGGATTGCTGCATGCCTGAGGACTCGGGGGCTGGCGGAAGTGCAGCCCAGGACGTATCGAACGGCCTGACATGGGTTGAGTCCTCGCTGCTTAGTTCTGCTGGCCAGGCCCACTCGTCGGTTGCAGCGCTGCCTCTGGCCGGTCGAGCTGCCGAGCCCGTCCGAGACGACCGTCAACAGTCACTGCAATGAAGCGGCGGGTGACACCGCCTGCATCCAGGTCTTCTTCAGTTTGCACGCCTTGCATTTCTGAACAACGTGCTGGCTCCACCGATGGCAGCCCAGTGCCTTGAACTACGACCACTTTTCCTACGCCCACTCCACTCCAGGAGAAGCCTGGAACGTGGCGGCCCCTGCTGCTACCAACAGTACGCACTGCTCTGCTGTCGATTGCACATGGAGAGACAAAGAAATGTCACATGCAGGTTCACGCTGTGACCGAAGGGCCCCTGGCCGTGTTTGAGGGTTACGAACACGTGGGTCGCCGCCCAGCACAGCACCTGACCCTCGACACCGAATCTGTTTCACCATGCACGCCCCCTATCCCAGAGGTCCCCTTTGCCAGAGCACCCGCGCTCCCCGCAGGGTCAGGGCCCAGAGACCCCTCGGCATCCCAGAGCACTCGGCAGGACTGGGCCCGCCCCCGAGCTGCCCGACCTGCCCTCGCTGCCGCCGAGCTCTCGCCCTGCACCCCCGCGGCCCCCGCACGGCCGAGCCGGCAGCGCGGGGCCGAAGCCTCGGCGGACCCCCCCCCCCGGCGCACGGGGCGCCCCCGACGCGCCCGCGGGCGGCAGCGTGGGCGCAGCCGCGGGCGGACCCCGAGCCGCCCGCGGGGGGGGGCCTCTCGAGGCCCGAGCGGGCCGCCCGACGAGCGAGCGCCCGGGATGCCCCGAGGCGGGGCCCGCCGCCCGCCCAGCACGCCCGCGGGCGGAAGCTCCGCCTCCTCCTCCTCCTCCTCCTCGGCCTCCTCCTCCTCCTCCTCCTCCTCCTCCTCCTCCTCCTCCTCCTCCTCCTCCTCCTCCTCCTCCTCCCCCGCCTCCTCCTCCTCCTCCTCCTTCCAGGCAGTAGTAGCACGGGGGCCTCGACAGCGCAGGGGGCCACAAGACCCAGCCATGGACAGCCCGTAGGGAGGCCAAGGCGCGCGCACAGCCAGAGGGCGGGGCAGCGCTGCCTGCGGACGACCACGTGGGTGTGGTGCAGGATCGGGTCGCGCAGCAGCTCCTGCAGCAGCGGAGGTGGGAAAGCGCGACGAGGAGCACAGAGGCAGAGAGGGGGAGGGGGAGGAGGGGAGGGGGGAAGGGCAAGCCAGGTGCACCCGCGTCCTATCTGACGTCCTGTCCCTCCCTCCCGTCCCTTACCATGGCGTAGATTTCCCCTCTGTTCGCACATCGGATGTCGTAGCATGGCATAGCATTACATGGCGTAGCATGGTGTCGAAGATCAACGCGTAGCATGACATAGCATGGCGTGGTGACTCCCCAAGGAGGGGGGGGGGCTTCTACGGCCCAACAAATCAACGGATCGGCACCAAATGTGTAATCACTTCCGATGGTTTTTCCGGGGGGGGGGCATTTTCTAGATGTTGGGGCCGATTTGGAAAGACCGAATACCATGCCGGGGCATGGCGCTGGAAATAATGACGCCAGCGCTGCAGCGGGAGCACGATTCGGAACGAGCGGAAGCGCGGCAATGAGGCCAGCGCTGCAGCAGGAGCACGATTCGGAACGAGCGGTAGCCCGAAAATGAGGCCTGCGCTTCGACGAGAGCAGCATTTTTCATCTCTTAAGCATAAAAATTATAACAGCGAATACCCAACTCCCGGGAATGCCCAACTCCCGAGAATCCTGTGTAAAAAACCATACGCGGAGGGGGCCGATCATTCCCGGTCGCCACCAGGGTAGAGAGGAGAGTAGTATTCAGATTGTGTCATTGTGGAGAAGAGGGCGAGCTTTGCTATGCTAAGGTAAGCTGCTATGCTCAGCTAGGCTATGATATGCTGTGGTCAGGTGTGCTATGCTGTGCTATGCTATGCGAGTGGACGTGTGGACGAGTGCGAGTGGACGAGTGCGAGTGGACGAGTTCAAGTGGCCGCGACGGACGGCGGCGACTTGCGGAGACGAGCAGGCCGGACCGACACCAGGGCCCAGCCACCTTAGCACAAAAGTCAGAACCCGTAAGTGTAAGCACAGGTTGGAGCAAACCTCAAGCCGAACGGCTACGGACACTTATAGGTAGATTAACGTGTACACGTATACGCACATAGATTCTCCGAAAGTCACCGTACTGATCCAGCCGCCGCGGAGTGTCTTGGGGCCCCTTGGAGGGGGGGGCTTCTTGACACCTACTCGGGGGCCGTCTTGGACTCTCCGTGGCGCGTCTGCGGCCCTCGTGAAGTCATCTTGACCCCTGCGAATGCAAAGCAGACTCAGGATGCCTCGGGGTCTTTGGGGAAAGGCTTTGAAGCGCTCCTGGAACCCTTATGGGTGTGCACTTTTTGTGGCCCCTGGGAAGCCCCGGGATAGTCCCTGGGCGCCCTCCGAATCGCCATTGACCCATTTACAAGACTCGGCAGGGGACGTCCAAATCCAGGAGACCTGGGCAAAGCTCTGCAGGAGCGTCCTGAAATCCTAGGGGTCCGAAATTCGCTTGAAGGATGACCTGACTGGGGGGGGCAGCCGTTACGAGCAATAAAACAAGAGATATCGATGTGTAGAGGTGAGAATAGAGAAAAGACGTGTAAAAATAAGATCGCACAGAAAGGGGAATCCATATGTGTATATAAAGAGAGAGGGGGGTAGGAAAACGCATAGACATACATATAATTGTGTTTAATTACATATACGCATGACACCAGAGAAACAACAACAAAAAACAAAAAACAAAAAAACATGGTTTTGTTTGGGCTATGGGGCTGTAGGGCTATAAAGCTATAAGGTTATGAGGCTATAGGGCTATTGGGCTATTGGGCTATTGGGCTATAAGGCTATAGGACTGTAAGGCTGTAGAGCTATAGGGCTATAGGGCTACAAGGCTATGGGGCTATCGGGCTATAGGGCTACAGGGTTATTGGGCTATTGGGCTATAGGGCAATAGGGCTACAGGGCTATGGGGCTATAAAACTATAGGGCTATAGGGCTTTAGGGCTATTGGGCTATTGGGCACCCCGGGCACCCGGGCACCCGGGCCCGGCCACCGAAATCGGCCACGCACCTCACCGGCCACCCGGGCACCGCCGGGCACCCCGGGCACCCGGGCACCCGGGCCCGGCCACCGAAATCGGCCGCACCTCTCACCTAATCTTTTAATCCGCTAGGACCCCTACAGAGGCAAGCTCTGATTGGGGAATGTGTGCACAGCCGAAATTCGATCAAGAAAACGGCCCTCTCAACTGACGAGACAGAGATTGGACGTCACCCTAATTAGGAAAAGCCAGGGCACCTTGGGAAGCAGACCGAGCTCCCCGCATGTCTACAACCCTGGCTGGTCGCTGCCCCGCTCCACAGCACCAGGTGCGAAGCTCGGGAGCGGCCAAGAGGCGGGTGTCCAAGAGGGGGGGTGCAAATCATGACCGGCGGCATGTGCGCGGCCCAGCGGGGGGGCCAGGGACGTACTGAAATAAGAGGAGGCGCCATGAAATCTGGGGAAAAATCATGGCCCCCGCCATGATATCCACCCCCCCGTAGTCATCACCCCCCTCTTTTCCGCTCCCGATCCACAGCACCAGGTGCGAAGCAGAGAGAAAGGCCAGGCCGAGGCCAAGGACGGGGCCGGCATCCGAGGCGGCCCCGCCGTGGGAACCGAGGACGGGGCCATGACGCTGCGCCAGGGCGCGGCGGCCACGCGGCACCGAGGAGGAGGAGGAGGGAGGAGGGAGGAGGGAGGAGGGAGGAGGGAGGAGGGAGGAGGAGGAGGAGGAGGAGCAGGAGGAGGAGGAGGAGGAGGAGACGAGGACGGGGCCATGGCGCTGCGCCATGACGCTGCGGCAGGGAGGCGGTCGAACCCGCCGGGGCTCCTCGCCCGCGGGCGGCGCCTTGACGTGCCAGCCGCCCTTCAGCAGCCCCATCGACGGCTCGAAGCGCGGCGTGGCCGCGGGCTGGAGAGGCCAGGCGGCGGCACCGGCGAGCAGCAGAACGACACGGCGGGGGCACTGGACAAGACATGAAGGGGCCCAAGGGACACACCACTAAGTGCACACGAAGAGCAGGACTCGCGCTCTTTTACCACATGCTCTGGGTTTTTGTCTTCCCCCCCCACTTCCCATATTTTCCCACATGTTCCTGCCAGTCGACGATCAATTGTGCCTGTGTGTCTCTTCCCCTCCTGAAGTTAAGGATTCCAGGGTCTGGAAGCCCGTGGATCTTCCATGGGTATTACCGCCGCCCTCATGCGATAAGGAATCCTCCAGGGTCTGCAGCCTCCTGGGCACGTTCCTTCACGAACGCCCCCACCATAGCTCCTCAGGAAACGTGGTGAGGAGAAAGGGTCGCCGGCTGCGAAGCCGCGGGTCTCGCTCGCGGGCGGCTGAGGAGCAGCAATAGCCTCGGCCCTTCCGGTTGCCCTGGGAAACCACAGAGCACCATTAGGACCCCGCTCCGTTCCCGAGACAACAGCGGCACTGCACTGCAAGCAGAAGTCTGCAGGCACACCCTGTGGACGCTTGCCTCCTCCCCTTATGAGTTCATGTGAACGCACGCGTCCTTTCGCAAATACACGTATCTTTCCCCTCCTACCCCTGAGCCGCGACAACACCTCCCCAACACCTTTGCGCACGTTCACCCCTTTGTGCCAGAGTGGGCTCACCTTGCACGAAGGGACATTTCTGCCGGGCGCTCCTCCAGAATCTCCTGCATCCTTCGGCCCATCCGACCACCCTTCTCCACGCCCAGTCACCCTGTTGCGCCGCCCCTTTCTGGGCTCTGTTGCTCTTTCGGCGGGACCGAACCTCACTTCAGACTCTGGAGCGACCCTTCGCTCGAAGTCGCTCCCAGTCGAGCAAAGGGGAAGGTCGTGGAAGACAACGGGGAAGGGATGGGGAGGGGAAGGGAGGAGGCATAGATGGACGGAGTGAAACAGAATGCCCGAAATCTACCTCAGTCTGCTCCTGCGGCAAGGACCCTCGTCCGCGCCAATGCTGTGCTGACGTAACGACTGCCGCCGAGAAGACGCAACCCATGTATCGGCGGGAGGGGCATGAGAAGGAGAAGTCCTTCTCAGGAGGCGGCGAGACTTCCCAGAAGCCCTCGCGCCTTCTGAGAAGTTGTTCATGTCTTCTGAGAAGGCTTAGAAAACTTCTCTGAAGGCCAGGGGACCTCCGAACCTACTGAGGAGGCCTTCTCCTTCTCGCTTCCCCCCCTCGCTCGCCGCCGAGTGTAACCCGAACTGGCTGGGTCCTGGAAGGACGAGGGGGCCCAGACGAGAGGGGAGCGTCGAACGGAGGGCGGCGAGCGGAAAAGGGGCACGTGTGCCTTCTCGGACCGCTGCCATGGCGCAGGGGCCACAGGCCGCGTGCGCCGCGGCGGCGAGGCGGCCTCGCCCCACGGCTGGTCGAGGGCGCCTGCTCGGGAACTTGGGCGGCGACCCCCCATTCCCAGACCCCCGACGTCAAGATTTGATGGGCCCATTTTCCACCACCACTACCAGATGTAGGAGAGGAAGGAGGAGGAGGAGGAGGAGGAGGAGGAGGAGAAGAAGGACCTCCTCATCCTCCCGTCTCCCCCATCCTACATATGGTTGTGGTGGTGGAAAATTTGCCCATTAAAATTTCTTCATGACGTCGACCCCTAGAGGTCTCGACCCATTCTCCGGGACCAGCTTCTCGTCCCGAGTCGTTGTTTGACGGTCCCGAGGCCCCGTGAGGGCCCCCAGAAGCCGAAAATTACAACAACAACAAACATATATATATATATATATATATATGAACACAACAAAAAATAATAAGAAAAAAAACTCCCGTCGTGATGTTTCCGTCCATGACCCGAGGGGGTATGGGTTACACGTGCCCGCACCCACCGACTGCAAAGCATACGCGACCACGTGCGGCCGAAAGGTCCGAAGTCACATCGGCACGATCTGGCAGCCGCCCCCGCGCCTCGAGGCAAGTGAAGGGGCCCCAGGACACACAAATAAAAGGATTCCCCATATCTTCCTATATGTTCTGCGCTTCTGTCTTCCCCCCCACCTCCAATATGTTCCCATATCTTCTGAGGGATCGCGGATTCATTGTGTCTGTGTCTCTCTGTTCCTCCTGAGCAAGTGGAGCGGGGCCTGCGCGCGCCGCCGCGCGCGCAGGCTCTTGTGCACGCGCGGCCGCCCGTGGCGAGAACGGGTACTCGCTCGAAGCCTCGCGATCCTCGCGACGCAAGATTGAAGGGGCCCTGGGACACACAAACAAACACACACAAATAACAGGATTCCCATATTTTCCCATCTTTTCTGGGGAATCGACGATTGATTGTGTCTGTGTGTTTCTTTTCCTCCTGAAAGATTGCCAATGGAAGCAACAGATCGCGGCGTGTGCCTGCAAGGTTTGGCTCTTCTTGGGGGAACAAACAGTAACACAAACATAAAAACTCGGAGGTCCGCGCCGACTTCTCGGATCGGCGCTGGACCCCCCTCCCTGGCGCGCGGAGCGCGCCAGGGGCGGCGCCAGAGGCGCCGCCGGGGGGCCCCAGCGCCGATCCGAGAAATCCGCGCGGACCTCCGAGTTGTTATGTTTATGTCACTTGTTGTTCCCCTATTGCTTTGCAATCCATCGGCTTTTTATGTGCAATATTGGTAAAGATTGCCGGGCCTGGCCCAGAAGGGCATCCTTGAAAAACACGAGGCCCTCCGACGGCCAAAACAAACAGAACATCCAAGGATACCCGCCCCAGGAGGCACAACAAGATCCAACGAACACGAAGAACACCAGGGCACCCGAACCAATCCCGATCTGATATCACTGTCCGACAGAGTTTGCAATCGAGTGTTCTCAAGTCCCTTCGAGTTTTCTGTGCGGAACGTTGCGAATATTCTTTACAGGGCCCACCGCCCAAGAGTTCCGGGCGCTCACGGGCCCTCCCTCGCGCGACTGGGGGCTCCTCGCGCGACTTCTCCGCACGCCAGACGGCCCCCCGGCAGGCCACGAAGGTCCCAAGAGGACCCCAAGACGTCCCAAGAGAGCCCGAGTCCCCCAAATATCGCTCCGAGGTGCCCAGGATGACACGCAGACGGCCCAAGAGGCCCCCCGAGAGGCCAAAACGATTGACTTGGCTTCGGCGCTCGAAGGGTCGCTTGCGATCTCGCCTTTTCAAGCTGTCAACGCTCCAAGACGATGCCAGAGGCCTCCAA